CTAGTACATTAAAAATTACAAGTCATTGGTTTAAATATCTTCCCAACTCTTTCTTAGTTACTGAATCTCCAGAGAAATGGAGTTGGTGGGAGCTAGATGTCCTGGATTCCCGTCCTTGCTCTGCCACCAATTTCCTGTGTAACCTTGGGCAGCTTTACAGCCCTATCTGGGCTGCCTTTTTCTCCATTAGAATAGGCATGGATATGGTGATCTCTAAGGACTCTTTCCACCTGAAAGTTTTATTCTGGGTGTCATTAGAAACTGATAAACCTTGGTGAGAAAAAATGGGCAATTGCAAGTTACCCATTATTACTGTCCCATGATCTCATCTGTCTGATAATCAGAGTGACTGCTAATCAGGAGATCAATGACCTACTGAGAGTCCCAGGTGAGGAGCTGCCTAGGTATCTTGGCAGCCACAGTGCTAACTCAATACCTCCTGAGGGACTCTGCTGGGAAGGCTGAAAAGTTAGGTGTTTGTTTGTTTTTTAATTGGGGAACAGTGTGTTTTCCCAGGACCCATCTACTCCAAGTCAAGTGGTTGTTTCAATCTAGTAGTTGAGGGCACAGCTCAGTGGCCCATGCAGGGATCGAACCAGCAACCTTGGTGTTATGAGCACTGTGTTCTAACCAACTCAGCTAACCGGCTGCCCCAAAGGCTAGGTTCTTGATGGAATCTCTGTTCTACCACTACCTCTGTCTGTGTCCTCGGACACATTATTTTTGTCTTTATGAGCCTTGGTCACCTCCTATTCCCAGGACAATAAAGACCCACCCTGCCTACCTCTCACAAGGTGCTGAGGAGATTGGAGGGGCTAAGACATAGCAAAGCATTTGGTACACCATACATTTTTTTATCAAGCCAGGGAACAACCTTAATGGTCCCCATTGTGGGGAGGATTAAATAAATCTACACATCCACAGGGGGGAACATCATAAGCCTTAAAAAATAGTGAAGGAGAGCTCTATGTCCCAATGTGGAAAGAAATTCGAGACATTGTTAGATAAAAGAGCAGATTTCCAAAAACTATTCTAATTACTGTA